AAGTCCGAAAGTCAGGCCATTTGTTGAAGCCTGTTGAGGCGTTGTTTGGACTAGAATACCGTGACTTGCTGTAGGTTGCTGTCACTCTGCCATTTTTTAATTAATGAAGAATAATGTTATATGTACCTAGTGACAATAAATTACAATACGGATTAAGGGGTCTGATGTAAAGTTAGTCTTCAGTACATTGTATGAATTGCTATTTAGGAGTCATTTTCTTTTCCCAAAAAAAAAAAAAAATTGAAATCATGTCTGATTCTAGATATAAAATATAAATAATAAAAAAAAATTAGGCGTTGAGTCGAAACTTCAAGCTTTACGAGCTTAAGCAAGCCTAATCGAGGCTTAGGAGTAAAAAAAACGTTTTCTTATTTTTGATATTATTTTAAATTTTTAATCACTTTAAAAATCATTTAATAATTAAAATTATATATATTAAGCATCTAAAATTATAAAATACTATATTTACTTAATAATTCATTCCATTAGTCAACTATATAATTTTCAAGTTTTCGAAATGCAAAAATTGGAATATTTTTCATATTTTTAATTTTCAACTAGACAAGTCATACTTACTAGATTTATAAGAATTTCATACATGATTTTAGAGTTTACAAAAAAATAAAAATAAATAAATAACGAGTTTTAAGATCATAATTATATAATGTAAATAACAACATAGCTTAAATCTTATTTAATTATTTAGATAAAGTTATTTTTAACTTTTATACAGAATCTTTTAAAAACTTGAAATTAAAGTCAAATGAATTTTTATAAAAAAATAAAAAAATTAATAAACTAAAAGTCAAATAAAAGAAATTTTTTTAAAAGGAATAAAAAGTAATAAAATGCACCCAAGAAAGATAAAAGAGAGGAAGGAAAAAAATCGGTCATTTAGAAATTGAAAAAAAAAAAATAGCGTCTAGGCTTGTAGCGAGACGTTTTTCTAGAACTTCGAGCATAAGCGAGCTGTTTAGAACACTGTTTGTATGGAAGGTAATTTTTTAAACATCATTTATTTTTTACTAATATGACATAGTTTTTTAAACGATCTACAATTACATTGGAGGTACTTTTAGAACTCGACATGTTATTAAAAACATTAGATTTTAATAGAATTTATTGAAATTTGAGTTGGGGACACCAAAATTTATACAAAATTTTAAAGTTCATTTAGCCCCTGTTTGACACCCATTTTGTTTGAAAAATAATTTTTTGAATAGTGATCGATGGAAAATTGTGTAGTTGAAAAGTAAGGAGAATTTTTTGGTTTATGTGTAATATTATTTTATTAATAGAATGTGTGGTTGAAATGAAGAAAGTCTTTATATTACTCTTTTTTTATGGTGTCAAACATGGGCTTAATCTTAATTGAAGGTAGTCAAAATTTAATTTTTTTCATCTGGATCAATGTGCTTGTTTAGGAGAAATTATAAGGTATTGAAATTATAAACTAACAGTAGGACTGGACATAGTTCGATTCAATTCTTAAGATAATTGAATCAAATCGAATCAGAATTTTCGATTATTTAGTAAGTAAAACTGTTGGGTTTAAATTTAATTATAGAACTGTAGCGGTTCAATTCCATTCGGTTATGTATCATAATTAATTTTTTTAACATTTGCAACAACACTGCATTAATCTAACCAATGCCATGTTCAATATGGAAGACATAGTAAAATAAATGTGAAAATATTTAGCATCTGTTTGAGTTATATTCAAATTTTCATTATCATTTTTCGACTAATTTTCAATCACACTTTCTTTCATAAAATAATATTTTTCATCACATCAATAATTTTCCTTCTTTTTCAACCACACATTCTCCATTCATCTACTATTTCAAAATACATTCTTCCAAAATAATGTGGCTCAAACACACGTCAAAAAATGGGAAAAACAAAGAAAATGACAAGGAAAATTTGCAAACGCACAAGCTCGAAATAAACATCTTGAAAACTAGTTATAAATTATAATATTTATCCATTGAATGTGAGAAATTATTAGAAAGGAATAAGATAAAGCTTACCTTGATCGAAGTGGAGGAAATTCAATGAATAGGATAGAGAAAATGGTAAGATGAAGAGATGCGCAGATACTTAACTTCGATTATTTGAAAAATTGCATAATGATTAAAAAAAATTTAGGATACTCAATTTTGATTATTTGGAATTTGAATTACGAAGTTGAGCTTGGGCTGAAAACGGAAAATGATATTTTAAGCTTAGTTAACTAGTTTGCAAAGTGAAACAGAAAAACGATATTTTTTTGGCTCAATCAATTAGTTGGCAAATTTATTTAAAAAAATAAAAATAAAAAGATTTTAAAAATATAGAGATTGATTGTTCGGTTCTTGATCTAGAATCAAGAAAGAACCGAAAATCGAATCAAATTCATCGTTTCTCGATTCTAATATTCATTCGGATATCTAACTTAAGAAAAATCGTTCAATTCGATTTAGGAGTTTGTCCAACCTTAATTAATAGGAATGAGGAGTGTATAATACTGGGACCTTCGAATATGGTTAAAATTAATGTAAAACATTGATATGTAAATTAATGATCATTTCCAATTTATGTTTTTAAGTTTGGCCATTTTAAATAGCAATTTTTTTTTATTTTAAAAATGGCCTTTTCCACATGTCAAGTGAATTGAGATGTTTCCAAAACCCTCAATTCTTAAATGCCTTTTAAACCACTAACCTTACTTAAAAAAAAAAACTTATTCACTTCTAAAAGTTAAAAATGAAAAATTCTCTCCATAGACTTTTCATTGAAACACAGATGAGGATGCTATTGTTACGCCTCGCCACCGATACTCCAGTTAAAAGATCATGTCATAGTCTACTTGGAGATATAAATCAAATCTGGCCAAGTCAAAGAAGACTCAATTGGTCAAAATAAAGAAGTCAAAGAAAAGCTGATATTCCGAAACCACCCCTAAACGAAGTCCTCAAAGAAGAAGCTGGCGCGCTTCTCACCCGAAACATTATATAAGTGGTTGAAATTCTAAAGCCGAAGCACCATTTAAGAAGTCAAAGAAGAAGTTGAAGCTCTCTGTCCCGCAACTCTTCACACCGAAAGATGTCCAATACATAGCTCTTTTTGGCAAAACCCTTACTATCTTTTAGAGAATCTATGGGCAATCTTTAGGAGTGATTGATATAACGTTTGTGATGATGAATGTCATGATTGTCGCCTAAGCCACCCGTTGTCAATGTATTAAGTGCACAGCTAATGTAGTGATGTGAGGCTTCGACCCAGGAGATGATGCTATGTGGTTCTGATCTAACGGCTATCAGTCATCAGAACTTTATAAATAAGCAACTCTTGTAACATTTGTGACGAATGTAATTCTTTATACTTAAAACCACACTCCACATTTTCTCTTGCTTATTTCATACTTATTTACTTGAGTTTAGATCATTTTTACTTTGGTTGAGTTGTTTGTGATTGTTAGTTAAATATGCAATCACCTTTGATCAAGTTGCCCTGCTCAAACATTTTTGTCCCGTTTCATAGAGTATCTTCCATGTCTTTAAACACCAACCTTTTCCGTTCGGATCTCTGGTTGAAATGTATTGAAATTTGCTTGCATGAATGCAAGTGGATCCAGTATCTGCTGCTCACGTGACCATTACAAAACATGGGTCAACAACTTAAATTGTACAATGTTTATATTTAATTTTTTGCATGATGTGGTGATTGTGATTTTAAAAGGCGAACAATTTATACATTTGACATGACTTTTAAAATGTTGCAAAAGAACTCTTAAAAATATAGAAAACATTATCAATAAGGTCAAACTTCCATTAGAGACTTGCAACAAAGTTCTTTATAATGTTTCAAGCAAGTAACGAAGCAACATTCTAAGATAATTTAGTTGTATGAGAGCACTAGATATCTAGAAACATTCATTATAATTGTACGGATAAAGTATTCTACAAGAGCAATTCAAATCGTATAATCAAACAATATTTTTAGTAAATGAAGTGAAATTATAAAAGGTAGTGAGTTAACAAAGCAACTAGCAAGTTAGAGCTACCTTAAAAGTTACAATCACCAAACGTCATGTAGGCTGTCATTTAACAGGTGAACAATCACTACTTTAAGGGTCAGTTTGATTGTAAAAGTAAAAAATGAGTGGAAAAAAAATTGAATTTTAGGAAATTGAATTGCTTAGAAATTGTTTTACTATGAATTGTAATTAATTGTGTTTGATTGATATAATTTTTCACCTAAAAAAGGTTGAAAGTTTGGTGTCAGTTTGACTTTATTTTCATGAAAATTGTTTATTAAAGCGATAATTTCTTTTACCATTGAGTCTAGAATTTGTTTAACTTGCCAAAAAAAAAAAAAAAAAAAAACCACACTGAATACCATTCGTTTAGCTTTATTTTGAATGAAAATTGTCAATAAAAGTAGATTTGGAGAAACGACATGTAATGCTCCCAAAAATTCACTCTAGAATGTGTAGAAATCATCAAAGGGGAACACGTTTGTCATTTAAGCTTTTGCGACAAGAGTACTACTGGTCCACTGTGAAATCGAATGCGAAAGAGTTAGTTCGAAAATGTGACATTTGTCAAATGACATGGATTGTAAATAATCTCTAGAACATTTATTAGAAATTATTTACCTAAATAAAATTTTGAAGCCTGCAATTTCTTTTGAATTTAACATTTCAGGCCACAAACTTTATCCAGACTAATGAGTATCAAAACTTTGAAGTAAAGTAGCTCATTTGATATGGGAATCGGATGAGGATTGACAAATTCAACTCAAGATATTTTACAAAATTTGGATCTTTATTTTCACTTCTCATTACTCGATAATTTTCACAAACACAAATATGTCCATGACAAAATAGTGCGTCCTTTTTCGATTTATATTATTTGATGAGAATAGTCAAACATTTGTACAAATATATAACATATTAAGGTTGTGTTTAACACCCATTTTGGAGAAAGAATAAATTTTGGAATAGTGATTGATGGAAGAATGAGTGGTTAAAAAGTAAGGAGAATTTTTGGGTTTATGTGTAATATTATTTTATTGATAGAATGTGTGGTTGAAATGAAAAAGGAGAAAAAAAAAAATAAGAAAGAGAATGAGTGTCAAACAGGGGTTAGATATCACGTCAATGGAGAATAATTTTTTGGACGATTTTAACCTTACTATAATTCAATTATTTCAATATAACATTACTTTTCATTTTTAATATATAATAAAATATTACAAAATCCCTTGTCATATATGAATTTCGTGTTATTAATTCTCAATTAATTAATATTTACATTAATCTAGACTCAATGAATCTTTACTTGAAAAATTTTGATTTATATATAAATCTAGAGTTATCATAAACGAATGTATTTCTATTCATGTATTAGTAATTAATGAGATATAACAATGTAGTATAAAAAGATTGTACTTATAAAATATTTTAAAATAACGTGTAGTGCACGTCAACTCTGTCTAGTCAATCAAAGTTTCTAACAAAAAATAACTTTAAATTTTTAATATAAAATTGAAGAATTGCTATTTGATCTAGAACCTTCCAAATCTAATCTAACATATCCCATATATAAATTAGAAAGTTCCAAATTCTTCATTCAATCCTTGAAATTAAATTTTTTTATACTCTTCCATTTACTCACGAATATAAGGAATTTTTTAATTTTGAAATTATTCAGACTTTCTCGGGTAAATTTCGAATGTCTTAATTTAAAAAATAATTATTAAATCAAATTAATTAATTTATTTCGAAACTTCTCGTTCCCTTGTTAATGTTAAGTAAACTTGTTTACGTAAACTATCCCAAACATGATCCTTTCCCAAAAAATCTAAAGTGTCTGTACACTTTTTGCCTATTTATGATGTGATTACTATCCCTATAAATTTCTCTTCTTCAGAAACGCATACATTTCCTACAGAGAGTTTAAGCTTTTATTTTTCTGTCATCATCTTCTAGGGTACGTCAATTTTTTCCGTATTAATGCTTTAATTTCATAGAAACAAATCATTCTAATTCGATATTTTGATCTTTTTGATTTCGATTTCTTTGTTTTGGTTTGTTTTGCATACGCTCGTGCTTTTGAATTTTGATAGATCGGTATGTTTTATGTGGTTTATGTATGTTTATTTGATTTATCAACAGTTTTGTGTGTCTTCCAATGTGAATTATCAACTGATTTAACCATTTATTTGCAGCTTTTTCTATTTTTCATATGTTGATTGGATGATTAGATCTTTAAAGGAAAACGCCAAGAACATACCGGCTGGATGATTTTTTGAGAAACCTATTTGTTCTCTCCTGTTTTTCGTTCATTTTTATGGATTTTTCCTCTTTAGTACTTAGGATACACGTTTTCGAAAATACCATTTAATCTGTGTGTTTTGATTCCTAAGAATGTATGAAAACCGTGAAAATAATTATAGGAGTATGAATTCAAATTCTTGTGAGTTTGAAACTTGGTCAATTGTTTGTACATCTCATACTTACACGAATGAAGATTCTCCATAAATTTTGACAGTTTTGTGAACCTTAAGGGTAACCAACAAAACCCGAATAAGGAATTTTTTAAATTTCAATGCAAAAACTTTTTCAGAGGTTTAAAAATGGGTGTGACGGTTGGATTCATCGAGAAAGTAGTCCGATGCAAAGAAACACTGTTTATTGTTTTGGAGTTATTAATATGTTTTTTCCATAAAATGCCTGGGCAGACAGATAAACACAAAACTGGTGGGAAAATTGACAAGAGATTACTCAGTTGTATAGTTTTCATTAAAGAGGACATTGTTTTGCATTTGTATGTCCATTTGGCTGGATTTATTACTTTGCTCTGTTCTGATACATCGTCCTTCCTGTCATTTTGGTCTCATTGTTGTTCTCTTCATCTGGAATTTTCGAGGTGATGATTGCTCCATAAATTTTATTAAGTGGAGTAGCCTTGCATTTTATGGGATAATTTTGCTAATTTGAGTGCATCCTAGTTAGTGAGTTTTAAGTTGCATGACATGGCAATTAAAGCATTTGAAAGTGCATTCAAGAATTGTAGATTCTTCGATGGAAGACATGTTGCTTTGTGTTTTTTTTAAGGCACTACTGATTATTTTGTTTCGTTATCTGAAAATATGCATGCTTTTGTCTTCAAAGTTCAAACTGCAGACATATAGAAACATTTTGTTAACAATTGACTACTAGTTCTTGACAACAAAAGTTCTGCGTTTTTGTCTGCGGCCAATTCACTAATTCTCTATTTTTCCTGTAATTATTTTATGGGTTTGTGTTTTTTTAGTTTCAGTCCTTTGTACTCTCTTTTTCTTAAACACTGAGTCGATATGTCCTTGAAGGGCTTAGCGTTGTTTATTAAGTTGTTTTAATTTTTAACCGGTCAAGGCACGGATTGAAATATCAATTGTTTGGATAATTGAACTAGATATGCTTTCTTTCATGATTGCATATGGCGTATGACTCTCTTCTCTCAAGCCACATATTAAAGTTCGACTCTGTGGAATAATCTTTGGTAGTATTTAATATTTGAATACATCTGCTTGCTTTTTGGATGGTATCCGCCGTTGTCTCTTCCAGTTTTTTTTGTCTTTCCATGTTTGGAGTGTCCCCATTAATTTTTTTCCTCACATTCTTCTCGAAACTTTTTGCAGTTTATTCTTATAATTCAAAGCAATGGCTGACGGTCATGAAACTGATAAGAACATCGAGATATGGAAAATTAAGAAGCTTATCAAGGCACTAGAAGCTGCACGAGGCAATGGTACCAGTATGATTTCTCTCATCATGCCTCCACGTGATCAAATAGCTCGTGTTACCAAAATGCTTGGAGATGAATTTGGAACTGCATCTAACATCAAAAGCAGAGTGAATCGTCAGTCTGTTTTGGGTGCAATTACGTCTGCTCAACAGAGACTGAAATTATACAATAAAGTGCCCCCAAATGGACTTGTGCTTTACACTGGAACCATTGTTACTGAAGACGGAAAGGAAAAGAAAGTCACAATTGACTTTGAGCCGTTTAGGCCTATCAACGCTTCACTCTACCTCTGTGACAACAAGTTCCATACCGAAGCGCTGAATGAACTTTTAGAGTCTGATGACAAGTTTGGCTTTATTGTTATGGATGGGAACGGGACGCTTTTTGGGACATTGAGCGGCAATACTAGGGAGATTCTTCATAAGTTCACAGTGGACCTTCCTAAGAAACATGGAAGAGGAGGACAATCAGCTTTGCGGTTTGCTCGTCTGCGAATGGAGAAGCGCCACAACTATGTAAGGAAGACGGCAGAGCTTGCCACTCAATTTTTCATCAATCCTCAGACCAGCCAGCCGAATGTGTCAGGACTAATTCTTGCTGGATCCGCTGATTTCAAGACTGAGCTCAGTCAGTCTGATATGTTTGATCCTCGCCTTCAAGCGAAGATTTTGAATGTTGCAGATGTTTCATATGGAGGTGAAAGTGGCTTCAACCAGGCGATTGAACTTTCTGCTGAGATCCTATCCAATGTGAAATTTATACAAGAGAAGAAGTTAATAGGCAAGTACTTTGAGGAGATTAGTCAGGATACTGGCAAGTATGTTTTTGGCGTTGATGACACATTGAAAGTTCTGGAAATGGGCGCTGTTGAAACTCTTATCGTGTGGGAAAATCTGGACATGACTAGGTATGTTCTCAAGAATAGCTTGACCGGTGAAGTTGTCATAAAACACATGAACAAGGAGCAGGAGTCCATTCAAAGCAACTTCCGAGATCCAGTCACGAATGCAGAAATGGAAACTCAGGATAAGAGGTCACTGCTCGAATGGTTCGCTGAAGAGTATAAGCAATTCGGTTGCACACTCGAATTTGTAACGAACAAATCACAAGAGGGATCTCAGTTTTGCAGGGGTTTTGGAGGAATTGGTGGAATCCTCCGTTACCAGCTGGATGTTCGAGCTTACGATGATCTTTCTGATGATGGAGAAAATTACGATGATTCTGAATAGCAATCAGCCAACTTTGACCAATTATGGTGCAGGAGTGGAGCGGGAGGCACCTGCACCAGAGCGCGAGGGCTCGCGCTTCACTGTGCCTCTGACGATGTCATCCAAAAAATTTGAAGGAATTTATCAAGGTAACAGGAAACGTATTCTACATGACTCCTGCTGTTATTTAAGAGTATGTTTGGCTAAGCATAGAATTTACTTTTCTAGATCGGAAATAAGCTTTTGAAAGTATCTCTAATTTTAAGCTTAGCCAAACATGCTCAAACTCCTTGTTCCATCTCCTTGTTACTTGAAAAATTCGATATTCTGATGGTGTTTTCTTTTCACTTCCGGTGGCTACATACAGCGACGGAGATTGCCTAATTGAATAGGCTATGAAGATTTACAACATTATACGCTAAGGATCTCATTGTAGCTGTCGTGATTTTTTGGTATAAGATCACGTTTGGCTCCTGCTTTATGATTACGCTTTTTCTTGAGAAGAATCTAGTTTGCACTTACAATAAGCTTCAAGACCTCGTGTCTAGACGTCTACTATACTCAGTATTTGTGTGAAACTATGTTTTTCGAGTGTAATAATTGTTATGAACAGGGTATTGTTCCTGAATCACGTGAATTGTTATTTGGTGTGGATTTTGTCAAAATAGTTAGTTTTGCTTTCGAGTTAATGTGATTTTCTTGGCCCATCGGTATTGTGTTTAAACTTTGTTTTCAATGCAGTTGTCGTATACTGCAGCTGGTGGTACAGAGTTAGTCGATGCTTATAGTTTTGGCTGCTTCTTTGGAAAAGAAGTTTTCCATTTTTGTTAGTTTGTTTAGAACTCTCAAGTACAAAATCATTCAAATTTCAATCCTTCAAAAATAATTTTTTCAGCCCTAAAGTGAAAACTATAAATCATGATATCTATCAACCTTTGAAATATATAATCAATATTCTTCTGCAATAACAACATAAATAGGAAATTATATTTTCAATTTATTCTAAATATTATATATATTTTTTCTCCGTCGCATATTATCTCATTAAATAAGAGACGGTTAAAATTATTTAGCATGATAAGACAAAATTGTCGAGTGAACTTTATAGAGAACAATAATAAAATAATTTTTGAACAGATAATTATCGATCGAATGTTTGGTAATTCGAATGAAATTATAATAAAGATGCGTATGTGATTGAGGTATAACAATTATCAATTATAATATTGTCGACGATGTCTTCATCATCGATGGTGTTTTGATTGCTAACGCAATTAGTTGTTATCACTAACAAAACCTTATTCTTTATTTTTTTTTCTATTTGTTTATAAGTTAACAACCATTAAGCTTAAATAATTTATTATTTTTTGTTTACATTTAATATTTAATTTTTTATTACTTAAATAATGTCTATTTTTTTGTCCGAAAATTTAATAAATTATAATTTTGAGATTACTAATTTAGCAATCCTAAATATAATTTAAGTTTTTAGTCTGACATAATTTTTTAGACTAATAGTCTGTTTGAGCCCTATTTTTTTTGTTTTTTTTTGACAAAAATTATTTGGTAATAATGATTAGATAAAAATGTACGGTTAAAAAATAAGATTTTTTTTTTTTGAAATTGCGTGTAATATTATTTTATTTGAGAAATATTATTTTAAGTTAGTTGAAGAAGAAACCAAAAATTACAATTTTTTTCTTTTTACATAAAATCTATGGAATTGAACAATATTAGTTTTTATTTCTTATTGTTTATTTAAAAGAATATATAAAGTGAGAGAAGGAAAAAAGAAAAAAAAAGAAAGGCTATATATATTTTTTTAATTTTTAATGTGAATTTAAAGGAATTGTATGGATATCAGGATATCTTGTGTGCCTAATCCTTCACGCCTAGGGTTTCTTGTGTCTCCCTCTCTATATATATTGTATACCAACCACACACTTTCACGCATTCAGGTATTCCTCGACGACAGCTCGGCGCATAGGCTTAACCTATTTTTCACTATATTCTTCCTTTTATAATCTTCAACACTTATCAATCTAAGGTCATTCTTATCAAACTATTTTGTTTTTGGATCCAATGAATTTATGAATTATTTTTTGATTTAGTTTGTTCTGGTGATGAGTTTTTTGGGTTGGGATTTGACGGGTTTTGTGACGTTATTATTTACGATCATCTTTATGTTTGGCTACGTTGGCTGAGTCTTAAAATTGAGATCGAATCTGGATTTATATTTTTTGTTGGATGATTTAGATTGGAAATTTGAGGTCGGGGATTGGATGAGTTTTTATTTGATGTCGTGATTTGATTAGTCAAGTCGAGAAGTAATTATTTATGATGATTTTTATTTTTTATTTTTGACTATGAATTCGAGCCTTGAAATTGAGATTGAATCCGGATTTATATCGTTTTGGATCATTGGGAGTAGAAATTTGAGTTGGTGATTGGATCTAGGGGTTTCAAATTAATTTGGTCGGGAGCTCGTTTGAAATCAGTAGTTATTTTTGCATATTAAATATTGTGATAATGGTTCAATTTCATGACCATTTAATTTCAGATCCTCTTTGAAATAAATATTAAGAAACTGAAATAATGATCTGAGAAAATCAGATTTTCTTTTTGCATTTAGGTATTTACCTATAATAATTTTAGTATCTTGTAGTCTTGAATAACCAATACTTGGAAGGTTTCCTGCAACTATTGCTTTGTAGAATGGTCAAGAATTTGATCATGGTACTGCATCGTGCAATATTGATATTGTATATGGTAAAAAAATTGTATGTGGTGATTTGATTTTGGGCAATGCTTATTTTTTAGTTTTTGTATACATGTATATTGGATCCTGATCCATGTTTGTGGGCGTGATGCTGTGCTATTGTATGAGGTTTTTTGTTTTGTTTGTTTGCTCACTTTAAATTGTTCCCTAAAATAATAGTTTCTTTATTAATTTTTGTTTTGTTTGTTTGCTCACTTTAAATTGTTCTATTACAAAATTTGAAGATTGTTTAAGATGTATTATGAGCTTATTTTGCATTTTAATAATTTTTTTTTGATATCTTTAGTTTATGGTGAGTCTTACGCCTCAAAACGCCTCGAGGCTTATGCCTTGCCTCATGAAGGATAAACGTCCAAGTATTTGATTATGCCTTTTTAAACATTGCCTAAAACTATAGGACTGTATGACAAATTCTTGTGAATCTATATTAAAATGATTAGCCCACTTTTTCCTGATTAGTCCCCTTCATTTCGGAAGTTGTTTCTATTTCTACATCTCTTTCTTCCAGTGGGGCTGCTTTTGATGAGATAATATAGATTGTTTTTGGATATTTCGAACTTCAGTATGATCATTTTTGTGACAGTAAATTTTTTTGAAAGCAGAAAAGAATATGAAAGTTATCTTTATTTTGTACGAAATGGGAATTCTGCCAATATTTTTCATTGCCAACTTATTTGGTTCTAATTTATTTTGAGATGAATATATTTGGCGTATTTTGTTGCAATGTTAAAAGTCATTACGAGTTGCAAGTTTACGTTTTTGTGCCTTATGAATGTACTATGTTGATGTTTCATTTATTCTTTCAGTTCTTTCTAATTACTCAAATGTATGATAACAGGTATTTGGCTGCTAAAGTTGCGGCATTTGTAGCAAGCATAAGTGGAGTGCGTTAAGTTAGAAGCTTTTTTTATGTCTGAACAGGCCTCTCAGTTTTTATCGGTAATTGGGTTGCTTGGAGAGTACTGTCCTCCATCCAAATACAAGGATAGTCATTCTGCTCACAAACTTGGCTGCATGCATCTTGAGCTCCAAGGATACAACGTACATTTTCAGGGTTGCCAATTTATGCGTCCTTTTCCATCTGGTTGTAACATTCACCATACTGAAGAAATCCTTGTTGAAGAAAACCAGCTGCTTCCTTTCTGATTAACTTGATAGAGATCATATCCTGTTTTTAAGGACAAAATGGCTTTGCAAAATATTGGTGCCGGAAACAAAGATGATGCCTTTTACAGGTATAAGATGCCTAAAATGATAACAAAAATTGAGGGTCGTGGAAATGGCATCAAGACCAATTTGGTCAACATGGTTGACATTGCAAAGGCCCTGGGGAGGCCTGCTGCTTACACAACAAAGTATTTTGGCAATGAACTCGGAGCTCAATCCAAGTTTGATGAGAAAACTGGTACTTCACATGTGAATGGAGCTCATGACACTTCAAAACTTGCTGCACTTCTTGAGAACTTCATCAAGAAGTATGTCCAGTGTTATGGTTGTGGGAATCCTGAAACTGAAATCATCATATCAAAATCACAAATGATCAATCTCAAATGTGCTGCCTGTGGTTTCATTTCAGACGTTGACATGAGGGACAAGCTCACAACATTCATTCTTAAGAACCCTCCCGAGGCAAAGAAAGGATCAAAGGACAAAAAGGCGATGAGGAGGGCTGAGAAGGAGCGGCTTAAGGAAGGAGAAGCAGTTGATGAGGAGCAGAAGAAACTTAAGAAAGATGCTACCAAGAAGAAAGGTGTTTCTGGAGGTTCAAAGGATGTTTCCACCAAAGCACCTAGCAAGAAGAAAGCCAATGTTTCTGATGAGCAGCATTCTCCGACAGGTAGCCAGGCTGATGACAATGATGTGGAGGCTGGTGAGGACTCTGACGATGACGTCCAGTGGCAGACTGACACATCTGCTGAAGCTGCTCGACAAAGTATTCTAGAGCAGCTGAATTCTGTCACGGCTAGCATGGTTATGATCTCAACCAACGATGAGAAGCCAAAATCAGGTAAAAACTCCCCAGCACGTGGAGAAAAACCCAAGATTAACGGGAACACGGTTAAATCTACTAATGCTCATGCAGAACTTGTTGAGGAAATCAGGGAATTTTTAGATAAAGGTTCCTCTGCATCCCAACTCAAGGCTTTCTTGGGTTCTCTATCTGGCACTGATCAAGAGGTTGTTGATGCCTTGTTCGAAGCCTTGTTTAATGGATTGGGTAAAGGATTCTATAAAGAGGTTGTTAAGAAAATGAAGTACATTGCAGCTGCAGCTCAGGGAGAGGACACACAACCAATTCTACTTCATGCTATCGAGTCTTTCTGTGGAGGAGCAAGCGCTGAGGCAGTGAAGGAGGTGGCATTGGTTGTGAAAGAGTTGTATGATGATGATATGTTGGAAGAAGTGTACATCGTGGAGTGGTATGAGAAGGGCTTGACTGGTAGCAATAAGGCTTCCCCTATCTGGAAGAATGTCAAGCCATTCGTGGAGTGGCTACAGAGTGCTGAGTCTGAAACCGAAGATGAATGAGTGACTACACCCCGATGAATGCTCTAGAATTCCTCTATTTCTTTTATTACTTCTGTCTTAAAAACTGGTTCAAGCTTGGTTTGTGGTCAATAATGCTTTTCGCTTAGGTCCAGGTTGGTTCGAGTCATTTCTACTGGCAGTGTTCCAGACTGTTTTAAGGCTTTCTTGATGTTTGTCGCCATCAGCTGGGATTTGTTGCCCGCTGATTTTTCCTTCAGTCTGTTGGTCTTATTACTGTCTTTATGGATTTCTATAATGACATATGTTGGTATTATTTTGATTACTTGTTCTTTTTTAATTTTCTATCCTTTTATAGTATACTAGTAAGAATTGAACGTGCATTAAACATTATTTTGAGATATTTTATAAGTGTTGTAAAAATAATTTTTGATACTAATTTGTTGTGAGTATTTGATGAGTCTCAAACGGATTAAAGAAAATAAAATTCAGGATAGAAATTTAAGAGAATAAAATTGTACTCTCAAAATGTAAGTTTTTTGATAAATTTTTTTATTTTTTATGAAATATTATAAATGAACAACCTTATTATACTATATTCGTACATACGAATTAATTGTTAATATACGGATTTAAACACATTAAAATTTCTAGATATATGAATAGAAATAAGTTCATCTATAACAACTTTAAATTGAAGTACATCAAAATTCATCAATTCAAGATTCATTGAGTATAGATTAATGTGAATGTTAATAATTGATAATTAATAACATGAAATTCATACATGACAATGATTTTGTAATATTTATTACATATTGGAAGACAAAAAAAGGTAGAATAATGATTATTAAAATAATTGAATTGTAGTAAGGTTAAAATTGTCCAAAAAATGAATATTACTATTTAATATATCATAGATTTGGTTTAAAAACGGATCGATAGTCAAAATCTTAATTTTTAGAGATCTAATAAGTTGGTGTATAATTCTCCTCTCGATTGCTATATAACCCTAGATATGGAAAATGTAAGGCACCGAACCTAGTTGGCTCTTCTACATTCTTATAAGTTATTATCATTATTTTTTTTTTTAACAGAAATGTCAATATAGACATTAATTTAACTCTATCGTCAATCTTTTTACATATGCAAAGTTGAAATGCTCAAAAGAAAAATAAAAGGAGAATTAAAGAAATAAAATGAAAAGTTCAAAGGATCTTTACCAAGAATTCAGTGCATGGAATTTTCTGCACTCTGAATATCGAATTGCCACGTAAGAGTTGTGCACTAGGTATACATTTCATCCGCAATCGGACAAATTAAGGTACCAAATCTGATCCCAAGCTCTTTTTGAATACGGCAACCCTTGATTAATTTCCCATCTTACCCTCGCCTTATTCCAAAACTTCTTTTAAAACCACTCTATCCAGACTACTACAGGAAAAGTGCATTTATTGAGTAGCTGAGGGTATTATTGTCATTTAATTTGAATCGTATTTGTAGTGTAGAATTAACTACTCGCATTGGAGGATTGAAGCAGCACGCGCGCTGTAATTGTTAAATACCATTGAAACAATATTTGTTTGTAGAAATATGCTACTTGTACATAATGTGGTGTTCATAACGGTGTCCACCATAACATAATATGGTGTCCATAACGGTGTCCACCACATCATATGGAAGGAGATCCACTTCGGATATATTATATTTTATTAGAAGTGGGTCTCCCTCCATGTGTGGAGGTGGACACCATTATGAACACCGCATTATGTACGTGTAGCATCAAACTTGTTGTTTGTATGTACTCTTTCAAAATTTTTATTCACACAAAATAAATTTTGCTTTCTTGATAATTTTTGGAGTTGCAGGAATTCAAATATAGTGTGTGGTCTATTTGCAAGCAAAATATTTTCTTTATTATTTTGACATATTACAAACGGTTGGAAGTGACAACAATAGATTTTAACATATTATAATGGTTGAAAATGACGTCAATATATTTTAATATAGAGAAAATTCTAATAAGGCGATCATCTATCGATTACAAATAACATAATTCTAAAACAAAATAAATAGATTCGGAATGGATTCGAGAAATTTGAAATGGAGATTAAAATTTCCCACTTATCATCCCGTTTACTTATTTATTTTTTAATATTTTAAGTACATTAATTGAAACATAAAAATAATATAAATAGTCTGTTGTTTTTCATCACGATGATAAATCATCTTGTTTATATGGCATTGGATGATTTTTCTAAAACATGAGTTTCATGTCCTTGCATGTAATTGAATATAATATTTAATGTCGCTATTGTGCCACATAGCGGCGACAAGGGTTTAGCTTCCTCGATAACTAACAAATCGTTATTGGGGAATTTGTTGTTTTCATGCATGAAACATCCACTAAAGAACTCTTCATCGAGGTTAGGAGGGGGTGTGTCCCACGAAAAACAACGACCAATGGAAATTTTCGACGATTGTAGAAGAAATCCCTTATTACCCAAGGGTTGGGATGCGAAATTTTGTAGTGAGTGCAAACAAGGTGGATGATTCAATATACTTTTCTTGGGCGTTGAACAAGCAAATTAAGATCTAAGTGGAGGGTCATTTCGAAGAACTGTCACCGATGTCGATGTCACAGCTATGACATTGGTTTAGCTTTGTCAACAACAAACATCTCGTTGTCCTGCGTAAAACATCCATCAATGGAAATTTTCGAAGATGCTAGAATAAGAAGTCCCTTTGGAGGTAGTGAGGGCAGACAAGGTGGATGCATTCGATTTTCTTTTCCTGGACGTTGAACATATGGGTTAAGATGGCGGTGGACTCAGAATTTCTCGTGCGTGGCTTTGTTTTAGGGAACAGTCAGTGACATCATCGTCACATCCGGTTTGCTTCAGGTATATATGCTTGGCCATTTTCAGGGGTGGTAGTAAGATTGTAGTACTAAGTTGAATAGTTTTTTATTGACTAAGTTGAATTATTTTTTAATAAGATTCATATTTATTCTCTTCTTTTCAACAGTATTATTGTGTTGTCGTTGCATTGATGATAATTTTATAGATTTATCGTGTTTTGGTGTACTGACATGAAGATTTAAGTTAGTTTTTATATTAATAGGTATTTAATGATATGTTCTATTATTTGATTTATCTGATTCTAAATTATGAAGAATGATGGTAATTATCCCTCTTCTCGAGTTGAAAAGTGGTAATTTCTCGTGTTTGACTTGAACATATGATATGTTGTTGGATATTATGTATTTTTTTGGTAGGAGATCTAGTTGTAATTTCATATGCTTGTCGTTATATATTTTGTCAAGAGGTTTAGTGGAAATATTGGATCCAATATAATAGCGAAGGCTATTTGTTATACTTTTTGTTGAAATCGAGTGTTTAGGTCACACGTATAATTTGGTTGGATCATACATTGATGCGAAAAGATGTTGGTGTTTGATTTGTAGGAAACTACACTTGTAAAATTCCTTTAAAAGTTTGATACTTTATAATTTTATTAAAAATGCAATAGGACATTACGCATTAACACGACATTAGGGATGAGGGTGGGGGGTCGACAATCTTACGTATTTATCATATTTATTTTTTAATTTTTAAGTACAATTTTAATTGCAAAAATGAAAATAAAGTAAAGACTAAGAGTATGCAATTTGTCATCATGATATTGAATCATCTTGTTTAGATGTTATTGAATGATAGGTCAATAATATAAATGCCATGTCACTGCATTTATAATTGAACTTATCATTTAATGCTAAATACAAGTCACGTCTTGAATGCAATTCATTACAACCCTTTTTGATAGCATCCTGTGAAGTAAGTGTAAACTCACACGCGAGACATTACAAATGAAAATGTGGAAAAAATCAACTCACCAATTGTAGCAAGATTGCAAATCTTTGGCAACAATCAAAGAACGTTTAAACTATGAAATAAACTTCATTCGTAATTACAAAACATGGAATGAATGTTTGCGAGTGAGGTCAATAGATATATGTGAACGAAAATGTTCTTTCCTGAAAAGGTTACGCGTAGTTTCAAGTGCCCGTTTGGCGGAATTTAAGATAATTGGTTGAACCATTGCACCAAAATCAATAGTTTGAAAGCTTGAATACCAAAATAAATTGAAAAAAATTATCAGTTTGATACTTCACGTTTCCACAAAAAGTAAAATGGAATGTGCAATGCAATTGCTTAAAAAGAGCGTGAAGAAATTTTTAGCCTACCTCAAAATCCCCACATTGCCACTTCACTCAAAACCTTCTACTCAACTCACTTCACCAGCAAAACCTATACACACACCGAAAGTCTGAACTCCACCTTCACATCTACATCGGACCGTGCCACCGCCAATGTCGACTGCTGCCATTGAAGTAGACCCCTCCGTCTGGAAAGCCATTGCCGGTTCCTCCGTTCAAATCCCTCCTGTCAACTCCTATGTCTACTACTTCACTCAAGGCCATATCGAAAACTTCTCCTCCACCTCTATTCAGAAATGTAATCTTTATTTTTGTCATCCCATCATTCTCTGCAAACTCCTCTCTGTTCAATTCCTCGCGGTCCCTTCCTCTGATCAACTCTCCATCAGAATGCGCCTCCAACCAGTCCACCCAAGTTGGCCTCGCCGGAGAACGCGTCTAAATGGAAGTGAGGAAAACGAAGTTCTTTCATACACCAAAATTTTGACTCCATCCGATACCAAAAATGAAGGAGGATTTTTTGTTCCAAGGTACTGTGCTGATCTGATTTTCCCTCGGCTTGATTTGTCTGCCGAGCCACCGATGTGCCAAAACTTGGTAATTAAAGACACTTTTAACTATGCATGGGAGTTTCGCCATGTGTACCGTGGGACCCCGCCCCGTCACATGCTCACCACTGGCTGGAATATGTTTGTCAACAACAAGCAGCTTGCCCCCGGAGACTCTGTGGTTTTCATGAGCAAAACATCCACCAATGAACTCTTCATCGGGGTTAGAAGGGGGGCGTGTCCCACGAAAAACAACGATCGGTGGAACTTTCCGACGATGGTAGAAGAAGAAATCCCTTTCGAGGTAGTGTATTATCCAATGGTGGGAATGCGGAATTTCGTAGTGAGTGCAGACAAGGTAGATGATTCGATGGACTTTTCCTGGGCATTGAACATGCGGGTTAAGATGATGGTGGAGACTCAGGAATTCTCAAGTGTGGCTTGGTTTCAGGGGACTGTCACCGATATTGATTCTCATCGTCACAGCCACGGCACGGGGTTTGCTTCTCCCTGGCGCATGCTTCAGGTATATATACATGTGGATGCTTGGCCATTTTTAGGGGTGGTAATAAGATTATAGTACTAAGTTGGATACAGTTTGCGTATTTTTATGATCGCTGAGTTTTGAATTATTTGTTAATAAGATTATTTTTACTAAGTTGGACATAGTTTCTGTATTCAAAAAATAAGACTTAAATCTTGTTTTTGTTAAATGATTTCATTTAGATTTTATTATTAACATGCTCCTCAAGCTTTAACAATCATTCTTAATAATTTCAGATCTTGTTTTCAACAATAATATTATTTGTCGCTGCATTGATGATAATTTTATAGATTTATCGTGTTTTGATATACTGCCACGAAGATATAAGTCAGTTTTTAATCTGATTCTGAATTATGGAGAATGATGGTAATTATCCTTCTTCTCGGAGTTGAAAAGTGGTAATTTGTGTTTGATTTGAACATACGATGTGTTACCGGCTATTTTGTTGTTTTTTGGTAGGAGACCTAGTCCAGGGGCAGAGCCAGCCCTTCAAACTAGGGGGCTCCCGGAGTTGAAAGGGCGGGGGCTCATGGGGGTTCGGGGGTAGCGCCTCCGAATTTTTTTTTTGAAACATTATCTCTTAAAATGAGAAAAATTGGTATTTTGTGATGGAGAAATGAAACAAATGAATATAAATTAATGTACGAAGACTTCAC